GTTTGAAAATGGAGCCAGCAGGCTCAATTTGTAATGAACTTGGCGGGGAATTCCTTAGCAATATGTATTCCTCAATCTCCGCAACTCGTTCTGCAAGGGATGGGACATGGGAGGAACCCCAGTGTACCGGTATGCATGCCTTGGCCACGTTGATCAAGTGCATCACAAGTGACTTGTTTTAAGCCTTCAGAGGGAGTACAGAGTGGTCTAGTAAGTATTGTGCTGGAGATTAGGCTAAGGCTTCAGTTACTTGAAGAAAAATAGGATGGAGATCAGACCAGAAAGGTTGGATCATTGGGCAATCCCACAACACATGTAGGAGTGTGCCAACCACTTGGTCGGGTCAAATTTCTACAGCAGAGCCAGGGTCCTGTGCCACCTGGACAAGAGTTTATATCTCCTGAATTGACAATCACCGAACCTTTATGGGCAACATGCTTTCCCCGTATCTGTCGGTATGTTTGCTCCCAGGAGTTTGTGGACTGTTGATATGTGTTGCTGGGGGTTGGCTTTCAAACAGATGTTTTCAAATGTTGAGAGTGGCCTGGATATCTTTGCTGTGGAGTTTGGAGTTTTAGGAAAGTGACGAAGTGGGAGATATTTTGAGCCATGGAAGGGCTTTCAGCCGAGAAGGAAGCCTCCTAGATGTACCCAATCTTCTACCCTGCAGTGTACGCATCAGTCCACAATTCTGGATAAATGGCACATCCAATAGTAGTAATTGAGGTCTGGGAGACCTATTCCCCCTTTCAGTTTTGGCAGGATTAGTTGGCCATAGCTAATCGTGGACGTTTGCGGTGCCATAAATTGCGTACAGATTTTTTGGTATGAACGTGTGAATAGTGGAGGTATTGCACTCAGCACTTCTTGAAGGACATATAACCAGCATGGAAGTATCATTTTAAGAATTGCCACTCTGCCAAACAATGAGAATATGGGTTTATCCCACCAACGGAGATCTTCTGTTATGGCCATTAAGATTGAAATATAGTTTCTGGAATATAGCTTAGATAAGCGGGTGGGCAGTTGACTTTTCTCAAATTTGGCCTTAAGTACTCTTAAGAGACAGGTATCCGCCTCGTCTATTGTTCCAAAAACCTCTGGCTTCTTTTCCAGGTGTTCCATTCAAAGTGTTTCTCTGATTAGACCACTGCTACATCACCTTCTGCTTCCTTAGGATCTTAAATTTTGGTTCTTTGCCCTGCAAAAACCACCTTTTGAACCCATCAGGGAACTCTGGACAATCTTTCCTTCAACATGGCTTTCTTGGTGGCTCTCAGGTCTGTCAGATGTATCTGTAAAAAATATATTAGGAATGGTTCCTTACAAGAGAGCCACTAGTTCACAAAGACCAAGTAGTTTTGTGCCCAAAGCCTAACTTTTTGCCTAAATTGGATATCCAACTTTCACCTTTAAAGGCCTAGTCCTTCGCTTTTTGTGCACTGCTCCCAAGCACCTTTTTAAAGAGACTGCTCTTCACTGTCTGGACAATGTCACAACTATTAGAATTTATACAAAAGCCACATCTCTGTCTTGTTAGGGCTTCACAAATGAAATCCTGTCTCAAAATCCACTATATTGCCAGGTGGATAGGAAACCTCATCTCAAGAGCATATACTCAAAAAAAAAAATAAGGCACTTTCAGTACTCGTGCATGTTCACCCCACCAGATCTGTGGACATTTCGTGATCCAAGATCAAGCCTCTGTTAACCAGCTTTGCTGGTCGTCAGCTCATGCCTTCTTCAAGTTCTACCAGGTGTTCAAGCTTCTGCGGATGCAGATTGTGGATGCAAACGTTCTTCTAGTAGCACTCTGAGTTGATATGTTGACCCATGTTATTGCTGAGTTACTATACTGTATACAGAGGACCCTTGATGTGGGACTGTGGCTTATGCATATATTTGTGAATGTGTGCAAACAAAACCCTCTGTTTTTAACGCAAACTGTTAGGGCTAAATCGGTTGTTTCATAGGCTGGCTTGTAAGTGCTGCTGGGAAATCCTTTGTTTGCGATGTACATTGCCCATCCATGTGCACCTTACTGATAATGCGGGTTGTGGGTTGGCACAGTTGCCATTTTTTTTTTTTTTTGTGTATTTGACCAGGTTCCTGAAAATGATATATTGGTCAAAACCTGATTCATATAGTATACGCTTCTATGCATTTAGAAAATCAACCTGCTCAAGACAATTTGATGAAGCTTTTTTTCCCAAGATAGGGAAATTCCTTGAAAAATTATCCCTGTGCTTTATTTCGGATTTATTGCTGTGTTAAGTCAAGTAAAGTAGTAGTATAGCCAAAGCTCTTTTAGCTGTACTTCTCCTCTGGATTACTAGAGTACAGTTTGTTCTGCACTGCTGTGACCTGTTTTCAGCCGACAGCGGGTTAAAGTCTGCTGACGTCGGCCAGGCTGGGGAAAGCACCTGACCATATAGTCAGGATCCACCCAGGAGCCTGGACCACCACCTGGCTCAGCCTCTCAGCGAGCCTTTGAGAGCCTGAGCCAATCCCTCCACAGCCCAGCGCTCTAGTGAGCGCTGGAGGGGCAGAGCTGAAAACTGGAGACTGACAGCACAATGGCCCCATATCAAGCAGCTTGCTATGGTGTGCTTGGAGAAGAGGAGGAGGAGATGGTTGGCGGGGAACCCAGAAGGGGACGCTCTGTGCAAAACCATTGCACAGAGCAAGTAAGTATAACATGTTAAAAAAAAAAAATTTATCTTTTTTAAAATCACTTTTAACAATACCTTTTATTCATGTGCCCTTTGAGGAAAGTCTTCTCTTTGATCATATTCTCAATGGTGGCATCTCCATACCTCCTATTTCTCACTTTAGGCACTTGCCTCAATACCACAGTCTTCAGTTTGTATGTATAGATGTAATATCTCCTAGCGATCACACTCTTTTCAATGTGAACCACAGATCAGATAAACGTAGTCCTTCTATTGCCAGCAGGTTGTGTACTCATTCTATTGTGTCTTTTGAAACTTTTTCAGTTTTAAATGCTTAGAATTCAGCATGTAGATTTTCCTTTTAGATTCTGTAACTAGTTATCTAGTTTTTCTTTTTCTTATTTTTCTAGTTTTCCTATACCCCCAGTGTACAAAATCCTGAATTATTTTGACTCCCCACACTCTAGGACATATGTCCTGTGTTGCCTAGAGTTTTATCTTTTGGGTGTATCAATGATTTTTTTTTTTCTCATTTCTGGTCTTTTTTTTTTTTTTTTTTTTTAACCCCATTGGAGTTTATTAATGTAAGGATCATTGCACCCCTTGCAGGTGATTTACTAAAACAGGAGAGAGCAAAATTGTCATAGTATATTTCTAACTTTTTTTTTTTTTTTTTTCTCCTCCCTACTCTTGGGTCAGGTTTTATGGAACAGACCGTTCCCCGAATTATAAGAAAATCTTTGTATGTGTCAGACTTTTAAAAGGCCTTGCGCTCTACTTCAGTAGAGTGTGCTATACCTTTATTTTCTGGAGGAAATGGAAAATTCAGTCGGTCAGTGAGTGATTGCCTTCTTATGATGGACACTGTTTGGCTGTCTCATAGTGTTTACACTATTTCCATGCAAGACTCTTGTTTCTGTATCCCTGCAATGATTGTTTTTTTTTTCCCCTTTAAGATTTTTATTTACAAATGCAACTTTTCCTTCCTCACAAGAAAATTTCTATTTTATTCTGTGTCAACTATTGGTTTGATTTGGAAGGTTCCCTTCTCATTCTTTGGTTCTGAGGACCCTGTACATCCTATTGCAATACAACATATCCTCAATTTTAAAGTATGTATGTGGATCTCTCCACTTCTTTCTTAAGGCCTGGTTCACACCTATGCGTGTAGCAATCTGCTGCAGGAAAAGAGTCCTTGACCTTTTCCGAAAATGCAGTGGCTGAAAACGCATAGATGTGAATGTGTCCCATAGGAAACTATGTTAAATGGTCTGTAGTGAGTTTCTGCAAAAAGCACAAAAAAATGCATAGATATGAACCAGGCCTTGAACCAGGAACTTGGTACTCCGATCTTTCTTGGTTTCACAGGTCTCCTTCCCTCTCTCCCTTTTAGATTACTGAGAAGATCTCCCTTTTCCTGAATTCGAGGGTTAAGTGTATTCTGCCTCAGCCCCCTGCTTCTCCCCTAGTTGGCTTTTGGTTGAGACTTAACTTGTTTGTCCAACATGTCTTTTTTCTGCAGTCAAGGATTAGGTAACCTAGTCTTTTGCCTTCACCTTATAAGCATTGTTCTGTTGACTACTCTTCTGTTGGTCCATATTTTCTCCCACCTATTGTTTTGACCTTGTGGAGGTTGCTTGGTTGACCTCGACATTCTTAATGTCTATCATTCCTTAGTACTCTTCCTTTAGTGGGGCTACCTACCCTGCTCTGGAACTCCAGATTCTTTCCTGATGCCTTCCTTGTTAGTAGCAATTTCCATAACCACCCCCCCCCCCCCAACACCCTTTTTATCTTTATTTTTTTTCCCCCACATCTAGTCTTGTTCAGATATTTATTCCTTCACAATTCTAGTAAGATGTACACATCTGTTGCATTTCTTGCTGACTTTTCGATCTCTGAGTGCCCAACCCTCAGTTGGACTGCTTTGGATGTCCCAAATGCCCTAGAATTGCTACGTTTCTGTGTCCCTTCAATGGATGATAATTTTTTTTTTTTTTTTTCCCTAACCCTCAGATTTTTCTTGAAGTCACTCTGGGGGGACAGGTTCTGTCCCTTGTTTACTGGCACTGTGTACTGTACTTGCAGAACAACTTTTGGTGCTTGCTCACAAAACTGAAGGCAGTGTTGGGGACTGGGGGGATAGCTACAAGGGGTCTAGCCTTCATATTTTTTTTTTTTTTTTTGCCACACCCTTCCTTCCTTCCTTCCTTCCTTACACACCCCAATGTAGGCCAAGTGTGTTAAGACTGGAAATACACAATGTTAGTTTTCATGTACCTCTGATGTTACACCCCTTTCCTAAATCTTATACACTTCTTTTCTCAGTATGAACTATGGGTATCAAAGGATTTTGGAGGAACATGGAAGCGAATACATGAATCTGTGTGCTCTGCTAAATGGTGAGAATTCTGCAATTTATTGATAAGCAGTGTGCAGTTTTAAATAAATGCCATGTTTCTTGTAACAACTATATACTTTTCTAGGGGGCCCAAAAACATGATCTTGTTCACTGTAACATCCGCAAATGAATCTTGTTGTAAGTATAGTGTATTCTGTCGATTTTTGCTGGTGGGAAAAACACAGCTAAAATGTCTATTTGTCTTAAAGCTGACTGGTCTGAGGCAGTTTGGTCCCTAACTATGAAGAGGACATCTGACTTTGGTCAAACATTCAACGTGCTGAAAGAGCATGTCCACTCGTTTGGATTATGGGGTCGTTTTCTGTTGGCATCTGTTATGGAAGAGGTAAGCGCAGAGCAGACCCATGTTTTCTATAAATCAGAACCCTGTTACACTGGCTTTCCAACAGCAGAATCACCAGAATTCAACTGCCACTTTCACTTAAGGAAGTCACCACCTGAAAACTAGGTTCTTGAATTCTAGTGAGGGAACAGTGCCGATAGCGTCTTCCTTGCTATATTGTGCAGCAAGGAAGTGGCTATAGGAGAAGGTTAGATGATTCCTAGCAATAAATTTGAGGGGGGGGGGAGGGTTGTTTCCAACATAGAATGCAAATAATAACACCAAGGTTTGGATATTACTCCTGCAGAACAGAATGAAGAGGAAGATCCACGTATCTCAGGACCTTGGCAATACATGGAACGTTGCTCAACTTCCATCTGTTACACATGAGCAGTTTTACTCCGTGTTGGCAGCCAATAATGACCTGATCTTTATTCACGTGGATGATGAAGGAGGTGTGTACATAGTACTATGATATACATTTAATAACCTGTATATAGAAAGTTTATGTATGTGCTCATGAAGTGATTTCCCCCCATGGTTAAGTGAGGGGAAATAAGTAAGTTTGCTGTTTAGGTCAGCAAAACTTTTATTTATAAATTTTTTTCTAAAGGCAAGTAATGCCCCTAATCTTCATCATCCCTCTCCTTCAGGTGGTTGTTGTCAGAGAAATTTTCCAACTCGTTTAACCAGTTGCTGCCCGGCCTATAGCCAGATGGCAGCCGGGCGAGCAGCTCGTCCCTCCGGGTGGATGCCATATGGCGTCCTTTCAGGGCCGCGATCTGTCACAGTCTGTGTACCTCGGATACGGCCGATGACACATCTGTGTTTCCAGTACCATGTGATTTGCTGTGACCAATCACAGCAGGTCACATGACAGTTGTATACAATGGATGGCTTCCTTTCATGCCATCCAATTGTATACTAGTGTCTAGCTGTGAATGGTAACAGCGGTCACATGCACAAGCTGGGCCAATCACAGCCCATCTGTGTCATGTGATTAGCCGTGGCCAAATCACAGCTAAGCACAAAAAAAAAAACCCCTGAATGAATCGATGTCATTCAGGTAAAAGCTTGCTTATAGCAAAGTAATTCTTTGCTATAAGCAAATTGTGTAAAAAAAAAACAAAAAAAAAAACAAAACTGAGTACTTCCCCAAAGTAGTACAATGTTACTATACTACTTTGGACAGTGAAATATGAAAAAAAAATCTTAGTGTAAAATTAAAACTAATAACATTTTAAAAAGTATGGTTTGTTGAGTGGATAATGCTTAATCTGTTAGACTTGTGAGTTTACATTGCCAACAACAGGAGGATGAAAGTATTTGCACAAAATAAAAACAACCTAAAGGGCCAGCAACACTTATTGACTAAACCCTACCTAGAAAGCTCAGTTTTATCCTTTTTTTTTTTTTTTAAGCTCTTTTTATTCATTACAAAGGAATGATGACCTCCAGATTGATATGGAAGGTAATTTACCAGGCTTATGCCCTAATGCGTAAGAAACCACGCTTTCCAGTCACTGCTTTCCCAATGGAGCAGTCAGTGCATTACAGGCCTGCTGGCACGACCCAATCTCTGAGGGCTTATGTTTGGTAAGGCTGGTTGGGCTGAAGCACTGGGCACTGCCTCAAAGTTGGTATTGGGTGCCATTTTGAAATTCCTGCTACTACCATCTTACAGTGGTAACAGTTACAGTTGAGGGTGCTGGGCACTGATGTCATCTGCTAGGTTGAGTGTTGGCATATTCTGTGCTCATTCTCCTGCCCTGCTTTCTAGAAGAAGTATTTTCCCACTGCTGCTTCTGCTCTTGTAACTCCTCATGGATTTCCCAGTCTTCAGCCTTGTTCCACTGCCTACAGGGATTTGGTCACCTCCAGCTACCTACGACCCTCTTTAACCACTAGCCTACAAGGCACTTGTACCCCCTTCCTGCCCAGGCCAATTTCCAGCTTTCAGTGCTGTCACATTTTGAATGACAATTACGCGGTCATGCGACGCTGTACCCATATGACATTTTTATAATTTTTTTGTGACACAGCTTTATTTTGCTGGTATTTAATCACCTCTGGGTTTTTGATTTCTTCTTAAACCAAAAACCACTGAAATGTTTTCTTATAAAATTTTGTAAATAAGTGAATTTTCTCCTTTACTGATGTGTGCTACTGAAGTTGTTGTGATTGGCACTGATAAGCTGCACTGATGGGTGGTACTGATGGGCACTGATGAGGCACTGATGGGCATTGACAGGCATCACTGATTGGCACTGAAAGGCAGCACTCATATATGGCACTGTTGGGTGGCACTGACTGGCACTGTTGGGTGGCACTGACTGCTGCACTGTTGGGTGGCACTGACTGGCACTGTTGGGTGGCACTGATGGCAGCTCAGATGGGCACTGATAGGTGGCATTGATATGTACTGGTAGGCACTGAAATGTGGCATGGATGAGCACTGACAGGTGGTACTGCTGGGGTTACACAGATCATCAGGGCACATTGATCATCAGTGCCCTGATGATCAGTGTACATGTCCCCTCCGAGGAATGCTGATAACCGGCATTTCCCTGTTTACATGTGATCAGCTGTGATTGGACACAGCTGATCACATGACCGAGCTGACATCTTCGGCTCTTTCCGTTGATCGGTGATCTGCTGTGTCCGAGGGACACAGCGCACCGCCGATCTGTTTGCTCCCGGAGCCGAGCATGCGCGGTTAGAATGGGAGGACGTCATATGAGAGAACTGCCTTGCGCCCGTCATTGTACTATATGGCGGGCGGGAGGCAGTTAATATTAGCTGCTTGGAGGGCAGTCTTGCTGCAATGGGTGAATTCAGCACATACTCTTTGCATCTAGGGACAAATTCTGTATGTCCCTGAGAAAGAACTGACGCCTGTAGATCCTATAACTATAGCTTTGTCCTCCTCAGAGTATAGCTCTGCAATGTGAGGTTCATACTTCCCATGTGTTCATAACACCCCTAATATCCACTGTGGATTTTTTTTATCAGTCTGTGCACAACTAATAAAACAATCTATTCAGAGGCAAAAAGCATGCTTTGGTACCATCCACATTGGCACTTAATTCTGACCCTACTGGTCTTCTGTTCGTAAGTGTGCATCATGTCCATATTGCTAGCTTTGATTCAGATTTGGTGCCCTTACAGTCTACTCCTGAAGAGCCTGTATGTCAGCAAGTTCTATATGATCCAGACTTACAAGTTTGTTTCTGAACTGTTTGATGCATTGCATTTTTACCATGCATTTGGAGGATTAGGCTGTTGTTCCAGACAAAGGGTCTTTTAGACTGGTTATGGCTGCAAAGACATTTCCTATGCAGTGTTTCAAATCTTCATTGAGGATTGGGAACAAACTATAGAATAACATCTCTCTCCTGACAATGTAATGGGACTTTTTATCTTGGAAAAAAGTTTAATAAGTGGTCTTTGCCCACTGTTGACACTCCAGGCATCCACACTAATCATACTACCAGACAGGTTGATGGTGTCTTGATGATTATCCATCGTTTTCAAAGAGGACCTTGACATCTAACAGGTAGTGGGCTGTCCATGGTGTGTCCATAGGTGGCTGGTAAGGCCTATACGGGCAGGAAATGTTCTGCCACATGTCGGGCAGACATATGTGGGCACCACTGTAACAGCATTTGCAGCTCTGGCTTTGCGGAGTGCTCGCTTCTTTCGCTATGGTTTGTTTGTTTTTTTTTCCTCATGTCTGGCAGCCTTGGTGGATCAACGTGCGCCATGTCGATCGATCTTGTGCTAGGGTTTCCCAGAAGGTGATGTCAATATCCAGGGACTTGAAGGAAGCTTTCAATGTGTCTTTGTATCGCTTCCTTTTGTCCCCTTCCTTTAGACAGCTCACCATAGAGGAGCTTTTTAGGGATGCAGTGATCTGGTATCCTTGCAACATGGCCTGCCCAGCGTGTCTGGGCTTTCATCAGCAGGGTATGAACTGATGGCAGGTCTGCTCTGGAGAGGACTGTGTCTGGCACCTTGTCCTGCCAACAGATCCTCAAAAGTCTGTGGAGGCAGGTCATGTGGAAGTGGTTCAATTGCCTAGTATGCTTCCTGTATAAAGTCGTAGTCTCACTGGCATACATCTGGATAGTTAGCACTACTGCTCGGTAGACTTTGAGCTTTGTAGCAAAGCTTATTCCACAGCGGTCCTACACGTTGTTCAGTAGTCTGCCAAATGCGGAGCCTGCCTTGGCGATTCTGCAGGTGACCTCGATGTCAATTGTCACTGCATGGGATAGGGTGCTACCAAGATATCTAAATTGGTCCACTGCTTGCTGCTTTTGTCCCTTCACTGTGATGGTAACCTCCTGGTGATGGGCTTTCGGAGCTGGCTGATGCAGCACTTTGGTCATCTTTGTGTTGATGAGGTGGCCGAAGTTGTCACATGCTGCGGATTTGTCCACACTGGCTTGCATTTCCTGCTCTGATCCAGCATTCAGGGCACAGTCATCAGCAAAAAGGTCTCGTAGCACAGTCTCCTTTACCTTGGTGACAGCCTGGAGTCTTCTCAGGTTGAGCAGTTTCCCATCGGTCCTGTATCTCAGGCTAACTCCCAAGGAACTGTTCTGGAAGGCGTCTGACAGCATGGCTGGAAACATTATGCTGAACAGGGGCGGTGCCAGCACTCAACCTTGCTTGACGCCGTTTGTAATGGGAAAGGCCTCTGAAGCTCCTCCTTTATCCAAAACATGAGCCATCATGCTGTCGTGGAACTGATGTACCATTACGATGAATCTGTTAGGGCATCCAAACTGATGCACCACAGACCTTCGCGACTGACCGTGTCAAAAGCCTTGGTGAGATCCACAAAAGGTGGTGTACGATTCACATTTATTTTTATTATTTTTTTATATATATGTTTTTAAATAAATTTTCTTTTTTAAAATACACTACAAAAGTCATATGTTCTTATTAGATAATACAAATGCACAATATCCCCCTTCCCAATACAAAAATCTCTGTCCAATTTTGTCTAATCATCCCTTTCCCCTCCTCAAGTGTATTGTGTCAAGTGTGTGTGTGTGTGTGTATATGTATATGTGTATATATATATGTGTGTGTATATATATATATATATATATATATATATATATATATATATATATAATTTCTATTTCATCTTTCCCCATCCCATTAACATATTCAATTCTGTCTGTCCAATCCTTCATTGTTGGAGGGTCCTGGGCCTGCCAAAATTTAGAGATTAAACCTTTTGCTGTGCTAATCAGATGGTATAATCTGTTTTTATATTGTTTTACTGACATCTCTGTTTTATAGAACAGACACACACCCACGGATCCTTCTGGATGGATGTCCCACAAATCTCCTGTATATAATGTATTATCTCTTGCCAAAATACCTGAACTTTTGGGCACTCCCACCATATATGAGCCATTGTCCCTGTTACCCCACATCCTCTCCAACATAGAGGTGATACTCACTGTTTATGTGCCACACTCGGTGTACAGTACCATCTAGAAAAACCATTTAGAATTCATCTCAACTATATTTGTGTTCATCACCCCATGCATTAACTTAAACATTTTCCTCTTCTGTTGATCATTCATTTTTGTACCCCATTCTCTTTCCCATCTCTCCAAGAATGACGGGACCCCAGCTCCCACCAGTTCAGCCAGGATATTTATAAATCCTGTTCACAACCGGTCTTAGAGCGCAACAGTTTTTCGAATGGGAGCATGTTCCCCACTGTCCTCAGTGGCTGAGGGAGCGATGAGACAAAATGTCCCAATTGGCAATATCTTAATTCATCTAAAACAGAAAAGAAATCCCTTTAATTCTTGAAAAGTGCATAACTTCCCTTTGTTTACTGTATCTCCCAAATGTTCCCATGTCAGTGTGCTACTATTTTTGTTCAGTGCCCCAAACTCCTGTGGGATCCAAATGATCCTTTCCAACTGTGTTTTACTTAATATGCCTTCCATTTTAACCCAACTTTTTTTCTTGTGAATTGTGTCCAGTCCACCACCCGTGATAACACCGATAATACTTCCTCATATTTTGGCAAATTTAGTTCTTCCTTTCTTCCTAATTCTCTTTATGATATTATCCTGAAAAAGGATCCAGGTAAATTTTATAGGGAGCATCTGAAACTTATACAGGATTTTTGGGACTGTTACCATCTTCACCAGATTTATCCGCCCAATCCATGAGACCCACCCTCCTGAGAGTCTTCTCATCTCCTCTTTAATTTCATTTATTAGTGGGATATAATTAACCTGGTATAGGTCCTTTATTGCGGGGGGGTTAGTTTTATTCCCAAATAATTTAAATCTCTTTCCCTCCATGCAAATGGAAATTCTTCTTGCAAGTTCTTACTTTCTACCTTCAACACATTAATATTCAAAATTTCAGATTTTGTAGGGTTGATTTTTAAATTGGATAACTCTCCATACTGTTTCAACAGTTCCATTAAGTTAGGTAGCACAACTCTAGGGTTCATTATATAAAACGCCTCTCAATTCCTGTAATATCTATGTTCTATCTTACTGCTGCCAGAAGAGGTTCCAGGGATAATACAAACAATAACGGGGATAGTTGGCATCCCTGTCTAGTTCCATTATGCATTCCAAAAGTCCCAGACAGGGTCCCGTTAACCTTGACCACTGCCGAAGGGGCGTTATAAAGCCCTTTTTATCCATTTCCACATTTTTTTTTTTTTTTGTTCCCCCTATTCCCAGGACCTCCAGTGTATTTTTAACATAATCCCACAGTCTGCCCTATCGAAGGCTTTTTCTGCATCTATCAACAGGATTATTGTCAACTGGCTACTTCTTTGCTTTTTGTAGCAGGAGTAATGTCCTCAAGCCATTATCTCTTCCTTCCCTTCCTGGCACAAAACCTACCTTGTCTAAATGCACCCATTCTGGCATCCGTTCCTTCAACCTGGTAGCTAATACTTTCGTGAAAAATTTGTTATCTGTATTTAGTAATGAATTGGGTCTTTAGCTATTACATTGTGAGCTATCTTTCCCTTTGAGAATGATTGTTATATGTGCGTGCAATGAATCTCCTCTCATTTCCATTCTTTTGCCCAGTGCATTCATACATCTGCAAAGTTTAGGGACCAATAACTCTTTTTAAATGTTTTATAATATCCCACTGTATAACCATCAGGGCCCGGGCTCTTTCCCCCCGCCATATTCTTCAGAGCCATCCTAATTTCATCTTGGGAGCTTGTTCTAGGGATATTAACTTCTCTTTTGCAATTGTTGGTAAATCTGCTGCAATTAAAAATGTTTGCCTTCTCTTCCTCTGTAATTTTTAGATTTATGGGGTTCATCTCATACAGTTTACTATAAAACTTTTGGAAGACATCAGCGATACCATTGGTGGCATAGACCAACTCCCCATGTTCATCTTTTAATTTTTTCTATATAATTTTTTTCTTTTCCTTCAGTCTCTTCTTCATAAATTTACCTGGCCTATTCCCCCACTGGTATCTTTCCTTTGAGACTCTGTTAAAGACTTTCCTCACTTCCTGTTCAATTCGGTCCTTCAATTCTTCTCTTAAGAATAATCTTCCCAACCTTTCTCCAAGCCTATGTTCTATCAATACGTAATCCAATCGTGAATATGATCTGTTGCGCAAAAGAGAAGGTGGTATAGTCCCTA